TATGATAATCCCGTTTATCGTAAGACAACAAAAGCAGCTTGAAAAGTGGCTCAGGGACTGCGCGGGAGCACCCGCTGCCAGGAGTTTCTGATTCTGCATCAGATCGATAGATGCAGAATCAGATGCTTTCCCCTAGCGTGTTACTTATTTCTCTTCCAGTGTCTATTTGACGCTACTGACAATGAAAATTGAGCTGTTTCAACACGCCCTTGTGACCCAGCAAATGTGAAGGGTTCCTTTTAGGCCTTGCAGGCAACTCATCCGAGAACCAGACCCGGGCTGGGTGGAAAGGTGCTAGCAGGCACGTGGGTCAGCGGCCTGGTGCGTCCTAGTCCGTGGCCTCGCTGCTGGGGGGGACCCTGCTCCACCATCCTCGCCATGGGGACTCCTGGGGCAGTGGCCGTGCTAGGACTCCATTCTTCGCTGTCTGGGAGCCGGAGCTGGGCCTTCCAGAGGGGCAGCAGGACACAAGATCTTCGTCCAAACCCACCAGGCATTTCCAAGCGGTCAACGGAAGCCAGGTATGGGCAAGCGCGAATCCTGGTGGAGGGCGGGGAGGACCCCCCTGGCCCCATGCAGGGACGCTGCCGGGCGACACGGTGACAATCTGCTTGAGATCTGGAGCTGAGGGGTGAACGGGATCTCCAATCCCAAGTGAGCCCTGAGGCGCCCCTTTCAGGACATCGGGGGACGGAGCACCCAGCAGAGGGCGGCTCTCTTGCCCCTTAATTGAATAATACTGCATGTCACTCACATCTCCACACTGGGGTCCGCTTTCCGTTTGTGTGTTTGTGTAACGTTCTCCAGATCGGCCACCATTGGCGCTCTCCTCCGCCTGCTGCTCTTTAGAGAGGTTGACGTAAGCAACTGCCCGAGGTGGCGGGCCCAGGGGTCTCTCCTTCACACCCCGTGGGCTCCCTGAGGCGTCTGGTGGGAACATCCCGGCCGGCCATTCTCCGGAGTCTCCCGGAGTCAGGCTCAACGGCTGTGTCCTTCCCGGCTCCTTCTAGCAATAAGCCACAAGGGGGCAGCTCTCTGAACACAGATTTCTTACAGAAATTTCACAGCCGCTGCGTTTCACTGATTACAGTAATGCAAAGTATATCAACGTCAGAAAGCTGCACCAGAGGCTGGCACGGCTGACTAGAGAACGGTGCTTCCTGGCTGTAGAACCTGGTACCTGTCATCATGCTGCAAATGGCTAGCAGGCTCAGGGTGCCTGGCAGGGGGCAGCCGCGAGAAGTCGCTTAGCACAGGGGACCCAGTGTGCAGTAGGGTCAGGGAACTGAGTGTGAGTTCCGGCTGGGTTGCTTTTGAGGTCTGTGCTCCTGTGCCTCTCTGCATCCTGGTCTCCTCGTCTGTCAAGGGAAGGAGTAACAGCACACTTGAGGGATGTTTGAGGATTCAAGATGACGTGTGCATAGTTAGCACAGCACTTGCAGGGTTCTATGAGCTCTGCTTTGATGGGTGCGTTCTCAGGCGCCGTGTTAGGCTCTATGTGCCTTTACCCTGTATAAAAGCCACAGCAGCTGGTGGGGTTCAGGACCAGGAGGACCAGTTGGTGGCAGCTGGTATCAAAGACATACAGATGAGTTTAAACTCAAGTTACTGTGGATTCCAAAGTTTGCTTTGGTTTCTTTCCATAAATCCTATGCTCCTTAGAGTTTGAAAGGTTGAGAAAGCATTTGGATTTTCTAAATTGGTCACAGTATGGCAGCTTCTCTGAGCTTCCATGGGACGTGGCATCAATGTCCTTTTCCTCCACAGATTCCCGTGCTCCTGAACCTGAGCCGCGACCCTGAGGTCGGCCTGCCCGCGCCGCCGCTCATGTATGCCCTGGCCTTCGGCGCCTGCCTGGGAGGTAAGGGGCTGCTGACCGCGTGGGTGGGGGAGGGGTATGCGCCCACACTTCCGTCCAGCCCAAAGCAACAGTTAGTGTGTGTCAAATTAAAAGCAAATGAAGGAGAGTCCGGATGGTTTCCTGAGTGGACACACGTGTTCAGCTTTGACAGAGCAATTCCAGGGCAACTCCGTTCCTTCCCATTCTTTGCAGAGCTGCCCCCGACTTCTCGGGCCCGTGGCCTGGGGATGCCTGGGTCTGACACCTCACAGCTGGTGGGTTCCCGCCCCGTGCCCGTGTGGGCCGTGCTTAGGTTTAAAAACAGATTTTGACTCAGAAGCCATCCTCAGTTGCGGTTCTGTTTCTCTCTTAGTCCCTCCGTAAGCAGTGGAGGGATAAGTGGGTCAGCTAGAAGTGGAGACTCTAACCCATAAGCGTGGGAAGAAAGAGTAAAGGTTTTTTTGGCGGTGGGCATTGGACGTTGGAGACAGTGAGAAGTGGAGAGACTCTAACCCATAAGCGTGGGAAGAAAGATTAAAGGTTTTTTTGGGGGTGGGCATTATACTTTGGAGACAGTGAGAAGTGGATTAGAGAGAGTGTTGGGAGAGACTGACCTCTGGTGACCAGACACAGGGTTGTGGATGCAGTTGCCGTGGAGAGAACTGCGGGGGAGGCCTTCTCACATCTGAGAAGCCTGATCACCTTTGGGAACACAAGGGGATTGTGAAGAATCTTAGATCAACACATCAGATACACTTTAAGTTTTTATTCTTATATCCAGGTATGCTTAGATAATCCAGCTTTCTTTGTTCTCTGATTGATTTCTGACTATTAAATCGATGCCTCTCTGGTTAGTTTATCTCCTTGGCTGAAAAGGGGGATTAATGTCATCCAGTGAAGTTTCTGTAATGTCCGTTAACAACTAATTCATCTAAGTCAGTGACTGATGCCTCAAGTTCTTCCAAGAGTGTAGAACTGTTAAAATTGCCCCTATCCAAGAACCAGTCCCAGGAAGGCAGTGCAGAGCTACATTTCACATCAGCAATTAGGAGCAGGATCCGAGGACAGCTGGAAACGCATCCACTGTGAGGACTCTGTTCGTTTGAACTTGCTGAGCCTCTGCTATACCCTGACGTTGTGCCAGACAGTGAATTCACACCCCTGCTGTCGAGCGGGGAAGATGGCCACCTAAACTAAGGTTACAGCATAGGCCAACACGTCCTGTAACGCAGGTGTGCCCTGAGTGCACGGGGCCCCGAGGAGAGACTGGAGATGTCGGAGGAGGTTCTGCAGACAGGGAAGTTTAAAGCCAGGTCGTGCAGAGTGAGAGGCCTTGTGAGCTAGTCTGGATTTCCCCAAAACATGAAGGATCAATGTGGAGGAGATTTCTCTAGGAGAGGCGTCAATGTGTGCCGTTTATAGGCTAATTCCTAAAATGGGATTAGACACTTATTAACTGAGCACACTTTGGAAGCAGGGAGGCAGTGAATAATGAGTGTGTTCAGTCTTAGGAGCGTTTTAATCTAGTAGCTCTGGAGATCGAAAGGCACCTGTTCCTGGCATGACAGGAGTGCAGTTGTGTTGGGAGTTAACTCTACACTTACTCCCTCGGGGCCCTTTCTCATTGACTCAAGGTTGGGCATTTTACAGAAATTATGGTAAAATATATGTAACCTAAAATTTAGCATCTTAACTGTGTGTAAGTGCACAGTTCGGTGGCATTAGGGACATTCACAGTGTTGTGCCACTGTCCATCTGCAGAGGTCTTTTCACCAGTCCAGGCTGAAGCTCTGTCCCCATGAAACACCAGCTTTCAACGTCTCATACAACAGAAAGATATGAGAACATATAGTCAAGCACACACAAACATTTAAACTCAGACAGTTTTCCGCTTGGTTTTAGCAATGTCATAAAAAGTCATACATCAATAAAAAAAATTAAGGCGAAGGTGAGTCAACACTAGGAAAAACAAACATATAGAAACAACCTTCCTATATACCTTCTATCCTCTCCTTCCTCTACCATATCCTATACCTATCCTTCCTTCCATCCTTCTTCCCTTCCATAAATACCTAAATCCATATACACCCGATTACCAATTTCGTTCTTTCCTTTCCTTCCTTCCTTCCCTTTTGTCCTATAATCCTTCAGACTTTCTTCCTTTCTTCTGGTCTCGACCCCAGTACTTTTTGTTGCTCCTTTTTCAAATGAGAAGCAATAAGAACATCAATAAAGCATTAACGAACACATGTCTTCAGCCTGAAGTTTCCTGGAAAGAACAAACAGAGGTAGATAGGCACAGTTCATGTGCTAAGGATTATACAATAAAGAACAGGCAATCCTAAGGTAAGAAAAACACATAGATAGGGGAGGAAGCGAAGAAGAGCTAAAAAGAGAAAAGCTAGAAGCTACTATACCACATGGGACATAGAGGAATATATACATAAAGAGAATTAGAGAAGGACAATCAGGTACATGAATGAACTAATATAATAACGCAACCCAGGAGCAGACACACACGAATAGACAATAGATAATTCACACCAACCCAGGCAGAAAAAACCCGTGGCTGTGTTACACCCCCAACACCAGACAGCCGATCAGGCTGCTGTCACAACACAAACCCAGGCGCAAGCACCGATGGCATGTGATTCACACCAAAAAACACCAGGCAGCCCGTGGCATAAGATAGAATCACCAACACCCAGAGACAGCCCGTGGACTGATGTTCAAACAACCAAGAACCCGCAGCAAGCCGTGGCTGCAACTGCTTCACAACAACCCCGAGCAGCCGTCGGCTTGTGTCTCACACCAACCCGGGAGCAGCCCGTGGCTGTGTTCACCACCGGCAGACGCAGATACGGCTGTGTTCACACACACCAACAGCAGCCCACGTAGCAACTCGTGTTCAACCCTGAAAGAGCTAGCATGATTTCCTCAGGTTAACATCACAGGATCAATAGAGACATAGAAACATAATATTATACAAGCCACCAAAGAGAGCAATAAGTCACCATAAAGCATAGAAGATATACATCAACAGAGTAGGAAAAATCTCACTGTATCGTAGGGAGTGGTGCCTAATTGAAAGTGAGATGATATATACGACCAGCCACAGCGCGTTATCTTGAGATGTTATAGCATTTATTAATGTGCAGGCGTATACATAGACACACGACAGACGCTAGAAAGCGCGTGGTTTTGAAAACTGCCTTAGAATAATCTAGACTCTGAATACAACCAAATAAATAGCAAGATCATCCCACACAGAAAAGACAAACCTAGGAGCGTGGCAGCACGACCCAGGACGCAGCGGCATGTCTCCATACAGAGCGGCTTGCCCGCCAGCGCGCACCTCTACGGCTTCGCTCACTCGCGGGCAACAACACAACAAAAAACAACACCGGGCTTCAGGTGGCCGGCCGCCAGGCCCGGCATTCTTTTTCACACACACCCCCATGCAACTACCCACCTCCGCTGGAATCATTTCTTTCACATACATCACATAGGCATCCTCTCCTCTCTTCACCACCTGCTCGCACACTACGTCTTTGGCATCTTGCCATACGTACAACGCCCACAGACTCCTTTTTGCTTCCACCACCCGACGGAGACATGCCAGGAACAGGTGTCACCAGTCTCAATCACAACACAAAGGCCCGCCACAGCCCCTACTCGCTATCTTATAAAATAAATCTGTTTTCTTCCCCCTGCCCCCCATCGAGCAGGGAGCGGATGAGCAGCTGGGCTTTACCAGAACCACAGTGAGACTGGACCTCTACGCGACACTCGCGGGCACAACACACAAGAGCTCGGCGCTTACGCCAGCACGCACTCACGAGTCCCACTACAAAACGTGAGGGAGAATGCTCTGGTGGGAGAGGAAGGAGCTTCTGATAATGGAGTCCTGGCCCTCAGGACCAACCTCCGGGAGACATACAGGGGTCCCACCCCTCCTACTGGCCACGGGTCCATAGTCTGAATGCATGGTGAGAGAGATGCCTGCAGCATCTGCAAGCTCGAAGTGTGGGCTGAGCTCTTGAGTGTTGCTGGCTGGTGGCAGAGCACACGGGTGCAGGGAGAAGGTCCCTGACCCGTGCCACAGAGCTCTGCTAGAAACATCTGAGGATAATGATGCGCAACCATGGAGAACTGCAACATGTCACACAAGAGAGGTACAATGTTCACCAAATAAAAGACTAACCTCACTGGTCTTCAATAATAACCGGAAACCGACAGAATGGTTAAACACACGGTAGGACTACGCACACTAGATCCCGGCCCCGACCCTGGCACATTGGACTCACAAAGATCACCTGTCTGTGCTACGTGTCTTCATCGGGAGACGTGGGGCCTCCCACACTGCTCTGTCATCCATGTTGTACCAGCCTCTGAAAAAGGTCCACTCCCTCCAAAATGAAGCAACTGACATAGCTGTACGGCAGGCCTCCAGGGCAGTGTCGCAATCAGTTCACCCGTCCTCCTTAGAAGGGAGCGACGATGGAGACAGAGGGGCGATTCTTCCCTCAACCGTGTGTGCCCGCAGGACGTCAGGACCCAGCTAGAACTGGCTTGAGGCTGCATCACCGGCTGTTCCGAACCAGGCTGACCCCACGAGATGGCTGGGAGGGACGGGGAGGCTCCTGGGCCTTCCCCGTGGCTGTGAGTGTGTGTGGGGTTGGATCTGATGACCCGAGTGCGCGCACCTTGGTTCATATGTTACCAGGGCCGTGCAGGACCGCCAAGCACCGCTCGTGATGGTGCACACTCATAAAAGCTTACCCAGAAGAGGTGTTTTACGTCAGGAGAGCCCATTGGTGAAGATCTGAAGGAAAGGGATTCCACCTGCTTGTTTTTACCTATCCTTTCATCCACTGAAAGAGTTTCCTAGTGTCTGGGCCTGCAGTCTGGAGGGAGGTGGTTCGTGTCTGAGACTGCATTCCTGAGGGACACACATTCTCGGCTTTGGTTGTTGGCCCCGTTTGCATTTTTCTCTAAGAGACTCACAGGCCCACAGTGACTTGCCCATTCTCCTTAGCTTTCTTCCTCTTGTTACATACAACAGCCGTGGTTTTATCCATAAATGAATCGTGGTATTTGCAATCAGTGAGCTTATTTTCTGCTTGTGTGTTTCCAGATATTTACAAAGCAGTCACTTTGACTGTAAAATAATCATCAAATCAAAGCCTGTGAGATGATCTAAATATTACAAACCGAAGAGAACAGAAGCTGACCACCAGGATGAACTGGAATTTTGTTTTTAAATTTTGACTTTAGGTAACGGGACGCTGATTGGCGCGTCGGCAAACGTGGTGTGTGCAGGAATTGCAGAGCAGCATGGATATGGGTTCTCCTTCATGGAATTTTTCAGGTACTTTTACATTCACTTTAAATGTCTGTTAAACTGTCTAGTTCCTAAGCTTATTTAATTAAAAAATAGCACATTCAATGCTAAGAGAAGCATATTTTTAGCAATTAGAGAGACTGTGGTGTAGGAGAGATTAACTCAGAAAAGAACACCTTAAAAATTTATTGCTGGTGGCTCACGCCTGTAATCCTAGCACTTCGGGAGGGCGAGGCGGGCAGATTGCCTGAGCTCAGGAGTTTGAGACCAGCCTGGGCAACGCGGTGAAACCCCAACACGGTGAAAATACAAAAAAAGTTAGCTGGGCATGGCAGTGTGCACCTGTAATCCCAGCTACTTGGGAGGCTGAGGCAGAAGAATTGCTTGCACTCGGGAGGCAGGGGTTCAGTGAGCTGAGGTCGCGCGACTGCACTCCAGCCCAGGTGGCAGAGTGAGACTCTGTCTCAAGAAAAAAAAATTGCTGGGATTAGCTCCATAACACAAAGGATGGTTCAGACATTCTGGATGACTCAGGTTGAGTCAGGGGGCCAGGAAGTGACTGTGGACTTGCCAGGTATTTCATGTGGCTGTCCTCTTGAAAATTCCAGTGGGAACTTGTGCCCTGACTGTCCACGAAGATGGTGCATGTCGAATCTGACATCACCTGCTGGATTGCACAGTCCCTGCTAGCAAAGACCCCGTGATGTTGCAGACTGAAGCCAGGGTGGTGGAATGGGGGCAGCCTGGCAGTGGCTTCCCTCTCTTGTGTGGGCACCTCTCAGGACTGCGGAGAGATGAGGCCCTCGGTGGGGTGTACAGCGGGTGCCCGCAGAGTAGAGCCTGCTCTAGGAGGAGCTGGGTCCACGCTGGGGCCCTGACTGCCGGCACATCTGTGTGTGAGTGGCACACTGCACATTGCAAACAGGTGAGGGGCAGAATGGAAGCTGGACGCCCCTGTCAAATGGTGCTGTGAAAATGAACTTCCTTCGTTTGGTGTTGAGCAAGGTTTCTGTGGAGTTCTTCGTACATTCGACTGGGTGTATGCACAATGATGGTTCTCAGAACCAGCCTCGGGTAAAGATTTGGAACCTCAACTTTGGCTGAGTGGCAGAGAACCCTGTAGCCGGTGGAGGCAGTGATCCCTGCACCAGGCACTGCTGCCTGGGGCTGGCTTGGGAACAGAACCCTGGCCATGGTGCCCAGATGAGGACCCACACACAGCAGGCTCTTTGAACAGCAGCACACTGGCTTTTGCCAGACTTATGATATTGGCCATTTCCATGGTTCGTAAGAAACTAGTACTATGTGGTAATTTTGCTGAGGCATCAATCTGAATGACACTCCTGGGTGACGTGGGGGTGAGCCGCAGGGGACACTGAGTGTGCATCTCCTGGTGGGACTCTGGGCATATCGCTGACCCTGCTGCTAAGGGACAGGGTTCAAAACTTGATGCCTGGCCCACTTCTTTCTGTCTGGACTCTCCTCTGCCTCTGCTGAGCATAAAAGAAATCATCCTGTCAGTTAAACAAGAATTCTCTTAATGAGAGCAGCATTTATTATAGCAAATATGGCAGTGGCCTTTGCAAGGTGGCCTACCGCACACTGCCGTCTTCTCATCTTTGCCCTATGGTCAGTGAGGGTCAGACCCAGAGCACAGCCGAGAGAGGGGATCAGAGACAAGCGTGCTGAGTGGGCAGCAGGGGGAGGTTCAGTTCACCCTCTCTGCCAGCTCTGCCTCCTTCATTTGGGCCGGGCTCCTGACTTCTGCAGCCCTGGAAGGCCGTCGTTCTCACGTCCCTCATCTCCTCTCGTTTGGTTGGGCAAGTGTACCACGTACTGGTCCCTCTGCTTCCTGGCAGGCCCATAGGCTGAATCTCAGACAGCGGGAAACCTCATGGCTTTTGCAGCACCAGTTGGTCTCACAGGTAGGCACGGGAGGCCTGGTACTAGTATTTTTTTAAAAAGAAGATTTTTAGGGCAACCGCAGTCTGATCTTTTCCCAAGTAGCACTTCGGAACAATAACCGGACATCTGCCCAACTGAAAGGGTTTGCGTCCACTCCACCTGGGACGCGTAAAGTGCCTGAGGTTCAGCTCCAGTGGGTGATGCATGTGGGCACTGAACTTTTCACACAGGTCTTGCATTTGGTGTGCAGTGTGTGACACACTGTGTGTGTGTGTGCGTGTGTGCAGTTACTGCGGTGAACGGCTAGTATGACAGGAAGTCGGTGGCCTCAGAAAGCTTGGGCAAGACTGCCAGTTGTCTCCCCAAAAGCTCATTAGCCCCAGCCTTGTGAGTCACATGCATCTTCTTGGATGGAGAGTGTCTCTGTGGTGAGTGGTCAACGGAGATCCTTCCTGGTGCCAGTTCTTCCAGCTCTGACCATCCTTCTTGCCAGGTCCTTGCTGTGCAGAAATCAGAGCAGTTTTTGCCCAGGGAATGGTTATTTAATTGCGGTACGGACTTTATTTGCATGAATTGCTTAATTTGCAATTGCACATGCACTAATTCAACTTTTATCTATAACTCAAAGATTTATTTTCATAAAAGGGGGCTTCTTGTGATACACAGTGCAGAATGTTTTAAAAAATGACCATTTCTCTCATGATGTAGATAAGTATTTAACAGAAAATGTGTCAACGAATAAAATATGAAAGTAACCTGTAATTTTGCTACCTAGAAATAGCCACTGATCGTAATTTGGTGTGTTTTCTTACATTTTTCCTGCCTACCGTAGATTACATATTTTTTACAAAGCCTTCAAATCACATTGTATCCTACTTTTTATTCTTTATACTCTATTGTGACCATCTTACCTAGGACCAATTGTCCTTCCAAAATCGAATAGCTGTGCCTACAACAGGCAGATATATCCTGGTTCATTTTACACTGAGGTATTGAGGTTGCTTACTGTTTCTTGTTATGGTGTGATAAATATCTTTATAGATAAAACCTTGTTTCATTTCTGATAATTGAAGATAAATTTTCTGACATAGAACCACTGGCTAAGTGAATGATGTTTTAGGAATCCAGATAAATATTGACAAGCTGGCATCCAGAAATGTTGCTCTCTGTGCACTTTATCGAACTTCACTGCTGAAACTCGTCACTGCCGTTTGAAACGCTCAAGGTTCATCTGGCTGGCTAACAATAGACTCATGTTTTGTTTTAATTAGTTCTACTGAGATTATACTCTTTCTGTATAAGCATTGAATATTTGCATTTCTTATTTTGTAAACTTTCTATTCATATCCTTTGCCTCTGTCTTTCTCTTGAGAGATGAATTTTCCTATTTTTCAGAAGCTCTCTTGCACCTACAGAAATCAGTTCTGATATACATGCTGTGACTATTTTTAAGCTTATTTTTGTATTTTAAATTTTGCAGAGGAACTTTAGATATTCTGTAGTCGAAATGGATAAACTTGAGCTCCATTTTTATCTATACTTTTTGCTTTCATTAATTTTTTAAACCTTTTGCTTTCAAGATAATTGTAGATTCATGTGCAGTTGTAAGAAATAATTCAGAGATATTCTCTGAGCCCTTTGTGCAGAAACCCCTGATAGTAAAATTTGGACAAACTGTAGTAGAAGATCACAACCAGGATGTTGCCATTGATGCAGTCAAGGCACACAAAAGAGTTCCATCGCTGTGAGGCGCCCTCATGCTGGCCTTTTCCAGCCAGCCCTGCATCCCTCCCACCTCTAGCCCTGCCCCAATCTGTTCTCCATCTCTAGCATTTTGTCATTACAAGAAGGCTAAATAAATGGAATCATACAACACGTGACCTTTTTGTATTGGCTGCTTTCACTCAGCATCATGGTCTAGCAATTCATCCAAGTTGTCTCCCATGCCAGTATTTGATTTCTTTGCATTGCACTGGGGTATGGATGGACCACAGGTTGTTTAGTCGCCTCCTCATTGAAGATCACCTGACTTGTTTTCAGTTTGGGGCTCTTACGAAGAAAGCAGATAGGACATTTTCTCCCAGTCTTCAGGCTGTCTGTTCATCCACTAAACAGGTTCTTATACAAAGCAAAAGTTTTGAATCTTAATGAGGCCCAACATGTCAAAACAATTTTTAATGTGTCGTGTTTTTGGTGTTAAAAGCATGACAGCAGGAGAACTTTTTGCCTAGCCCTAGATATTTTTCAAAGATTATCTCCTGTGCTCTTTTTTCCCCCAAATTTTATTGATTTACATGTTACATTTTAGTTCATGTTCCATTCTGAGTTAAGTTTCATATAAGGTATGAGGTTTAGATCAAGGTTCTTTTTGTGTTTGCCTATGGATCTCGCCACACTCTAGCACCATTTGGTACAAAGGCTGTGGTTCCTCCGCTGAGTTGCTGTTGCAGCTGTCACTCATCGGCTGAGTGCATCTTTGTGGATCTGTTCGCGGGTGCTCTGTTCTGGTATATTGATCTGGATGGCTGTCCCTTCCCAGTACCGCGCTGTCTTGATTACTGCAGCTACGAGAGACAACACACTGCATTACAATTTTATTAGGATCAGGAATACTGGAATAGACACATAATTTAAAATTACCCTACAAATATTGGTATCGAGAGGTCTGCAAATATTTTCTTAGAATTATTTTTAAATTTTGTCTGTTTTGGTGGTTATTTTCCCCTTGTCATTTTTTATCTGTGGATTTATTTTTGATTAGTGGTTTGCGATTCATCTAGTTCTGTTTTATTTTTCAAAAAATAAGACTTTGATGTATTTCTTAGTCTAGTTTTCTATTTTCTGCCTTGTTAATTGCTGCATTTATCTTTATCATTCCCTTCCTAGTGCTTTCTCTTGATTTACTTTGCTGTTCTTTAGTTTTTTCAAATTTCAAATTTATTTCGTTTATTTTTGTTTGTTTTATTTGCCATAAGTGTTTAAGGCTATGCTTTTTCCTCTGAACACTGCTTTAAATGTATTCCATGGAGTTTAATATATAATGCTTCCATTATCATTTCTAGGATTTCTGTATTTTCAGTGTGGCTTGCCTTTCATCTGAGTTGGATGTTTAATAATGGTTC